GTGGGATCAGAATTTAGCATAAACAACATGAAAGCATTGATCCACCCAGGCTTAAATTACCACTTCAGCCTGTTGGGATATTTTCTTGGCATATCTTTGGGCCCCTTAGTACCAACTGATCATGATTTAAATACCACAACCTACCTGAATATTGTTGCTGACCATGTCCATCCCTTTATGCCCACAGTGCACCATCTTCTGATGGCTGCTTCCAATAGGATAACAAACCATGCCACAAAGCTTAGATGATCAAATACCACACACAAAAATATTTAGATTATGGAAATACCTGACAATTTTAACTGTCAAAACTTACTATGAAATAGTTACAAACAAATCCTAACATCAAAGCATCGAATGTAAAAAACAAACATCCATAAAAAACAATTTCCATTAGTGTGGCTACACCAATCTCTGCCATCTACCATTTATTAGTTATATTAAAACATATTTTAGGCTTTAAATATCTACAGTTAGACAATGAGAATTTTATTTATATAGCAAATTTCATTATACGCATATTCAACTCAACTTACAAACTTGTGTAAAACAAGTTACCAATGTTGAGCACCTGTGTAAAACCTCTGCAGGTTTATGATGCCTTAAGGCAATAAAACCCCAGCAAAATATAAAAAAAAAAAAAAAAACAAAACAAAACAAAAAACACCAGTGATTTTGTGTGAAAAGCCATTTGTTGATAGAGCATTACAGGTGATTATGGTAACAGCAGGCTTACAAAGACACACGCAAACGGCCATCCGCACAAAAACACCGACATCCAAACGAGTCGCACCGTAAAGAAAAGAGAAACACACACATTCCTAGAATGTGCACTGATGTGATACGTACATAATACACATTATCATATGCAGGTATGCAACACACACACAAGCGGCCACACTTACACACAGTGGGCCAGAACATTCCACTAACTGGACAATGGAGCAGGCTGTACAGCCAAATCCCTCTGATATCCCTTACTATGAGCTAATCCAGCTAGGACATGAAACCTGAATGACCCTCTTCCCTGAACGCACACACACAATCCCGCACACAAGCATAAATGCGCTGGAAACAAGTGCTCTACAGATAGCAACAAACATTAACACTCTGCTCATTGTGAACTGACCCGTGACACATGCATGTGACCTTTATCCCCAGGTATGGTGGTGAATCATACTGGAATGTGTTTGTTTTCACTCCCAACAGGCTGTGTTTTTCCACTGAGAGTGACACAGGCCAGTGTTTTTCAAGTTCAGCCTGTTTTTGTGGTCAGCCTTTTGGAAGTGTTACGGCAACATCACAGAAATCCACGGCTGGGTAACCACGCTGTAGTATAATTAACATCTGGTAAATATATGCTGTGTTATTTCAGAATTCATCACCATCATCCTAATCAAATTAATATTTATAACAAAGACATAAAAAATGAGTTATAAGAGCCCATTCAGCATCAACATTATAGTCAGCAAAGGCTGCGCTTCCATGCACCATAACAATGCTTAAACTAAAACTGTTTGACAGCTGGTGAGTTTCTGCCATTCAAACACAAACCCACGCAGTCCTAATGAAGCAGACTAGTTAAGGGTTAATGAACAACACTTACAGTGTTTTTTTTTTTATTTGTTACTTTAATTGTTGCCTTTTGTTGCCAGCAAACAGCTGCTCTTTAACAAACCCAACATTTACAATGCAACATGGCGTTTTAATTTGTTGTTTTTTTCCTGCACAGAGGAGTATGTGGACCTCCCCTAAGAGCTTTTACCAAGAGACAAAGCATGACCAGGAGTGTACCTAGTTTTTTTTTTTTTCTCAAATCCGGTTACAATCATTCAGTTATTACAATCTTTGCAGATTGATTGTGCTTAAGAAGGTAATCACCCCCCTAAAGACCCATTATGAGTAAAAAACAGCTTGAGATACATTTCTGGGTAACAGATCAACTGAAGTCCAATATTTACTGTTTTAGCTTAGCCAGTTATTGGTCATTACCAACACCTAAAGAAGCATTTTTTTCTAGCTGATAGATTTTATTTTTGTACCCGGACTCTTGCCTTCAGCTGGGACAGGCTCCAGCTCCACTCCAACCCTGATAAGCAGAAGAAAATGGATCTACTGATGGATGAGCTTTCAATTATGTTTACCTGGTAATTGCTAAGCACGGGTGTCTGCACGTGAAAGCTGTTAGGGTAGATAATGTTTAAAGTTAACTTGAGGAGTAGTTTAGTTTAGTTTTGACGTTCCAAGTACATCAATAAAAAGGCAAAACTCATAATCCAAAAGTAACACTAAGTCCATGAAAACGCAAGTAACAAAACAAACTACAAAGAAAATCAGACACATGATGATATAACAGCCACCAAAGGAATGACAGGATTATTTATACACACACTGCTTGAGGATTGAACACAGGAGGGTAACAAGTAACAGCTTAACCAAATCTAAATAACTACACAGAAGAAGTAAAACTCAGAACAACAAATGGGAGATAAAACACGAAATGGACAACAACTGAAACGAGGTAATGTAGAAACATGAGTGAACCAACAGATGAAGAAACACAGGGATGAGACAGAGGAGGGGATTACTGTAACTATAAAGAGGAGAACCAAGGATGAGAAAATACAAAGACCTAAACTCGACCCTAAAAAATTGTAAAAAAAAAAAAAAAAAAAAAGTGAGACTACTGACTGAGACACACGACAGCAAACAAAAGGAGCCCTGGGGAAACTAAACACATAACAAACTCCATAAACACCAACTAGAACTCGACTGTAACAAGAAAATAAAACTCAAAAGTTAAAGCAACTAAGACAAAAGGAGAACACAGGCTCACGGTAGGGCTGTTCGATATGACGATATATATCGGATGACAATATAAAAACGTCTATCGTTTCATTGTTTCGTGGTGTCACAAAATAAACTGTTTACGGCAATATTTTTTCATTGTTTTGATGGTCACTGTAGTGGCTATATTAATTCCTTAAAGTTCCCTCTTTCTCTTATATTTTATATAACCACACTACCGACAGACAAGCGCCTGTTTTTATGCGTTGTGGTTAGCAACAACGACGGTAACAGCATCGCGTGTCCGCTTGTTTATGTTCCACATAAACCTTTCACAATAAAGCTCAAGATCCTGTTGAGACTTTTCAAAATAAACTGAATCACGTGAAAGAGCAGATTATTTACGGATGAGAATAAAAAAGAGCCGCCAGGTGCTAAAAAATAAACCTTAGACTCAAACGTTAGAACAGACTTTTCCCCGCAGCACGCTGCGTAATAAATACTCACAAAGAAAACGGCGGCCATTACAACTTATGTCTAAAAATGTATCGTTTCATGCATCGGTTAAAACACTCGACTCCAGCTACATGACGCGCAGCTGGAAACACTTCCTGCAAGTCGAGCTGCCCGAGATTCACAGAATTTACAGAAAATGTTAGATTTTTGTGATTTATATCGTTATCAGACGATATAATTCTTATATCGGGATATGAGAGTTTGGTCATATCGCACAGCCCTAGCTCACGGTGAAAAAAGACACAGAACATTTGATTCTAAACAAAATTCAAGACATTGAAAGGTTAAAACTCTGGGACCACGACAAAGACAGCTACACAAAAGTAAGTTATAAATTATGTAAGACAGAGTGGGAAAACCTCTGTAGGCTCGATTACTCCATGTGACCAGTCAAACTGTTATGTGATCAACTGTTGGTATAAAAACACAGCCTATAACAGCTTTACTCATATATAAAACGACTCTGAATAACTCTGAATATGAATCTGATTTTTATTTCAGTTTAGGTATGAAAAATATTGAAATATTTACTGACAACAGAAAAGATTTTATTGGTACTGATTGTGGTGATGTTGCCTAATGTACTGAAATGTTTTCAGCTTAATCTTAAGGTTTGATCATGTAAAATAATTAATCCCTGAAAGGTTTTCAGGGATTAATTATTTTATCACCACAGCACAAATCTTTCTCAGTCATTTCAGACCCCTGTAGGTTTTAATCTATATCAGATATTATTATCATGTTGCAACCATCTAGCGACAGTGAAATACATCCACCATAAACTGAAAATCTCAAAATATTGGTGAAGTAGTATTTCAGGATTAAACGTATCTGTGAGTTACGTAGTTACTGAACAAAAGCTGTGTGCACCTTTTATTTTATTTATGACAAGTATTTCACAGTTCTACTGTCTGCAAAAGTCTGCAGGAGAACTGCACGCACCTGTGCATGAACAATAGGACATCGCAACAGGACGTCTTCATGAGAGTGTTTTCATATCCTTGCATAGCTAGTCCTCCCTATGTCAGTGTAGCCTTAAGAAGGCTTCACTGTTTTTTGTGATCTCTGTGATTCCCCACTGTTTAAAAGAAAAACAAAACACAACTTCCACCTGCTTTCATCTTTTCATCTCAGGAATAATCTGAAGAATTTCAATAAAAAGTGCATGATGTGAGGAACAACAGCAGAGGCTTACCCACAGTGGTGGCAAAGAGTGTCAAACAGAGTGTCAACCATTATGAGAAATGCAGCTGTGACTGAATCATTTTTGTGGTTTGGCATAAACAATCAAAACAACCCTGGTTTTTCTTCATCTCTGCCTTGTTCCTTCTTGGCTGATGCCCTCATTTACTTCCACACAGCTCCTCCTTTTCTTGCCCCTCTGCAATTACGCCGACACCGTGATGCTGACCTCACCTTTGTATTGCCCTTTCCAATACATTTTCAGCAAATATGACAGCAGATGAGGTGGCTCTGTTCATCTCATCTCTGCTCAGTCAACATCCTTCTGAGCAAAACATCGCAGTGTCAGATCAGCTGTGCAGAGCAGGCGAGAGGCTACAGCACATATTAATCCCTGCTCCCTGAGTCACAGCACAGCAGCTAAAACAGCCAGGGACTCTGGTGTAATACAGTATGCTGCCGCTGCTAGCATTGATTCAAGAAGGCTGTTTTATCGATCAGCTAACCTGCTGCTGTGGTATAAGGGAGGGGAAGAAAAGGGAAAGATGAAACATAAAGACTGTAGCGTGGATCAAAAACGCGAGGTTGAAGAGAGAAAGGAACGAAAGCGACAGACTGATGGACAGGATGAGAGAGGGACACACAGACAAAGAGTGTGGGGCGAATAACTTCTAGAGCCGTCCCTGATGGGAGCATCACCATGGTGATGGGCTGAATTAAAGCCCCTGTTTGGCACATCATCGCTCTGGCCCTGAGAACGAGGAGGCTTCCACTGCGATCTCTGCACGGCAGTCTGAAAGAATGAGTCCATTACGGTGCTTCGATCGGCGCCCGTATTGCAGAAGAAAGGGGAAGTGATGAGCAGGTAGTGGGCTGTGTCACCAGTGCTGAGGGTGATGGAGCACCTGTCTGTGTGTAACGGCGTGTCGGTGTTTGTGAAAAAAAAAAAAAGGTGTGCGCCGCTGCAGCTGGCGTGAAACACATCCACTGGTCTGACCTCATTTTTGATGTCTGCTACAAAATGAGGTTATTTTTCAACATTTATTAGACCAGATAAATGCTGTTTTTCTGCGCGGCCACAGCCTGACAAAGAATCTGAAGCTGACATAGTGACACAGCTGAATGTTTCTCACTGATGTCGGCTAATTTATCTGGTTTACTCTGTAATTAGCTAGTGTTTTTCTTAGCGAGGGGAAAGTCAATATAGCACACATAAGATAAAGTTAAGAAGGGATTAGATCCTTGGCCGGAGGGTGAGATTAGCTCAAACAGCAGTCAGTGAGTGTCAGAGGGTCTGTTCTGAAGCATCCTGCCCCCTGTTCACGCTTGGCTCGTGCACTATGCGCAATCAGGGTTAAAGTGCAGACTTTACACTATTTTGTGTTCAAGTCTCAAGTGTGCTGCGCTGGCAGTTCGGTCAGAATATAAATAAAGGGTCTCGTCCTAACCATCAGACCCTCCAGCCCCTCCCCTCTTATCCACCCCGTCCACTTCAAGTATTGACCCAGGGCAGTTCGTCTTCTTCCTGCCAATGCAAGCACATCTCCAGCCCATCCAGCACATCTCTTCATCTCCAGCCAAACACACACAAATCCACAGAGGGTGTGGATGCTTAAGAAACCTAAAGTCTGCTATGCATGTCAAAAGTGCAGGCCTAATCAGACTGACACACACAAACGCAAACAAACCAACAAACACTTTTAATTTTTTCTTTAACTCTTGATATATTTCTACTGAGTTCTGTGAAGTAGCTTCTTTCCTTTCAGGATTACATATTCGTTAACCTTGAGGCAAGCTTCTTATTAGATACAACACGACTGTGAATGGACACAGACCTTGTTTGTGGCTCTGCTGGATGGTTCTCTGGATGAAGCCCTGGACGTCTCTGTAGGTCTGGAGGAAGCGATCTTGGAATTGGCTGGCCTGCTCACTGCTAACCCCCAAGATACCTGACAGTCGCTCGCGGCCTACATGTGATAAGACGTATCAGGGAGGAGGAAACAAACAGTTCAGTCAGAAAACTGCGATCTATGAAATTATTGATTTATTACAGCAGCAGGAGAGCAGAAATTACAGTTTGGCGTCTAGGCTGCGAGCTCATCACTGCCCACAAACATAACACATATCAAACTGGCGAGTGATGAATAAAATATCCCCCCCGGAGCATGCAGGCAGGCAGCAATGCAGGGTAGCAGTGGCGCTGACATGCCAGTGGAGAGATGGGATATTTGAGAGGATGTGTTTAGTCTACGATGTCAGGACACTCGGGTGTGTTAGGGTGTATGATGCAGTGTGCATTTCTCAAATGTTTTGAATTGGGCATGATGTAAAATACATGCATGTATAATCTGAGTAATGTCTGGTACATGCAGCGATTAGCTTTGTGACATTATTCGCTTTCCTTGGATTTCCTCTCACATGCAAATTACTTGGAAGATGTATTCTCTGCAAGGAGAGTTTAACAGGTGGTGCTGATCACATTCACCTCAGTGGAGATAATTATAATTATTAGAATTCCTGACCAAAGATGGTGGCGACAGATAGGTGAGGCCTGAGGCCGAGAAGTTGAGAGGAGCTAAGTGAACAGAGGACAGACTGGACCAGAGGGCAGGAAAAAGGCAAAGGAAAAAAAGTAGAGCAAACTGAGGAGTGGGAGGATGAAAAGGACAAGATAAAAGATCACTGGGAGACTTAGAGGTGAGTATTTGTGTGTCGAGATGAAGACTAGAACACAAAAACCTAGTGTGGATGTGTTTGCTCAGGAGGTGTTAAAGGTGTGCAGCCTGTAGCATGAGCACAAGAGCAGGGCCCGAGCAGAGGAGTGTAGAGGGTTTGCTAATGGGCAACACAGTTACTATGTGTGTTTTTCAGTGATGGTGACAGTGATTAAAGCAGGGACTCAACATCACAACAATCACGTGACAGAAAACACACAGCCCTATTGTGTTGGATGTGTAGGATGTCTGACCTTCACAGACAAACATCAACTGTGATTGCAGCTTGACTATTGAAATGAGAAATATTTCTTAAAATCTGGATTCCTTGAAATAAATTTGAAAAAGTGGTTTAATACACCCCAAAAACATATAAAAGGCAGTAATTTTGACTTAAAGCACATCAGGGAGAGAATGTTTACTGGGTAGCAGTGTGATACAAGGATCTGGTCAATTACACAATTTAGATACTTTAAATTCAATAAAATCAAATAGACTTTTACTCAATATTAAGTCTGTATTTGCATTGACTGGCACATTTATGCAGGAAAGAATATATATATTTAGGTTTTTTTCTATTGACATAAATACTATAAAACATACAAATACATACATCATGCACTCATATCAATATTAAAATGTATATGAGTTGGTATGCCTGTATTGCAGGTAAACAGTTTTTTAAGGAAGTATTTTCAGAAATATCCCTGGTTCCCTGGTTTTTAGCAGGCGGATGTTGGATAGATATTAATTTAGAAAGCCCCCTGCTGGCCATTATAAAGAATGCAGGTTTAAGTCGCTTCCATATTGACATCTTTTATGTACAGTCTAGGGCTGGGCGATATGACCCAAAATTCATATCTCGATATTTTTTAGCTGGATGG